TCAGCACAGGTAAGTTTGTTCTTTCCAGAAGGGGGTGGTCTGTATAGGCACATTGCTTTGCAACACATTTTATATGAAGTAACGCACACAGTCATTAACTCAAATGATCTAAATCCACCTGATTCTTATGAACTTCGCTGAAGACCAACTTGAAGAGAATCCTGTGACTCTAAGTCCTCCACCTTTAGAACTATCTCAGGGTTGGTGGACAAAAAGGTCATTAACCGTTGTAATTTCAACAATGACTGCTTCATCTCCTGTGATTTTAGCCATGCTTCAGTTAAAAATAGAATGTCAAATTCATTATCTTGTATGAATTCTGACATCTCAAGGGCTTTATTTCTGCTTGAATAGGAATTCCAAAGACCAACTTTCAGACATGTAGAAACTGATTTGGATTGAAAATATGATTGAACAGTGAATTGGCAGCACATAGGGTGTACTTATCTTGTGAAGCCTTAATAGTCATTATACATGTACAACAACATTAAAAAGGCCGAACGTAAGGCCATGCTGGCCTTTGGACTGGGAAGCCACCAAATGGATATGTGAAGTATGGCAGAGGGACTTGAGGCTGTCTTGGTTCTTCTATATAGGCATTGTGAATGTCATCTCTGAAGTGGGGTCTTGGGGGTAAGGGAATCATCGGTTCCTGAGAATGCACTGTCGCCGGTGTAGACGGGTAGGTGTGCTCGTCACATTGCTGATCAGCACAGGACATAGATTCTACTATAAGTCTGCTCAGAAGTTTGACACCACGATGTGATAAGTAAATTCCGCCAGGAATGAGCACATCACGAGGCTTCACTGACATCATCTGTTTAAAGATGTCAATGTATGTAAACTGTATAGCACAGGACATTTCTTTAATAATGAGGTGTCTTGTCATACTGTTATACCATGATGGAGACTGGCAAGGTAGTACAGAGCACACATGCACATATCCTCCGTAGCATTTACCTGGGTAGTAGTGAGTCAAATTCCTCAACAATTCTTCTACGGGCTGCTCAGTAACATTGTTATCTCCTGTAACAAAGACTATGTTTTTCGTTGTAGAGTTTTGTTTCAATAGAAGAGGAAATCTATCATGGATTTCACCAATTGCTGCTCTCCTGTTTGTGTCAAATACATGTTGTACAAATGCATGGTGCCTGCATTTCACCTTTTAACATTTGTATAAATGTTTAAGATATAGTTTACTACACTAAATGTGTAATTTTTTCAGTAAATATCATTCAAACAAACAAACACTTACAAAGAATAAAAAAACATATACCCTATATCCACGTATGGTATATATGATATTGAACAAGGCTAAATGTAGATAATTATATTAATTTCATGAAAAAATATCCAAACGATTACATTTTAATACTGAAAGTGTAATCGGCAGGATATGGTGATTGTGTTTACTCTTATGCAACCGACCTTCACCTCAATGAAATTGCCAAATATGTACAACAATGTTGACATATGACATCACTACAGATGACCGATTGCTTACAAAATGGCAGCTTTCCTGAAAATGGGTACTCAGGATTTTGCGAGTACCCTTCCCTTGATTCAGGGATCGTTTGTACATAAATATGAGATGTAAGTAATCTGAATGATTCTGACTATATGTGTATTGTTATATGTTTTAACGTTTTCATTTTCAGTAAGAGAAGAAGCCAGAAATGCCGATCATTACCTTTGTTGTTCTGCTTGATTTTGCGTCAGTCATGGCGTCACGATGCACATCACATTACTGTATTGTATCTATTTTAATTTGCTATTTCTTGCTACGATGTTTTTTCCATGCATAATCTTAATGCATTCTAAGAATAGGCGAATGGGTGTCTGAAAATTTCAGAAAATGCTACACAGTGTAACGTCTGATTTTTTCTTTGTTTACATTTTAAACAAGTGCTGTCTTTCGAGCACAGCGTTGGTTTTCACACCCAATATCTTTCATTTCAGTTCACCTAGACACTTCATAACGGTCACAAAGACCAGTTTTAAATTCATTCTAAAATGTATTAGGTATTCAGTGATGCATTTGTCGCAGCTGAATATGAAATACAAGTGATGTAATTCACTAATTGGCACCTCAATACCGGCCTTCGCAAAACGTGATTTGGTATGTATCCAATGTAGCGCAAAGCGCACTTCGGCAATCGTGTTAGTGTATTTACGAAAATATCCCAACCGATTCTAGGTTCATCGGCAGCGTTTCAGAATTATCATTAGTTATTTCAGGAAAAACTGATATCAGTGATCATTGACATGCTATTTTTGACATTTTGTGCCGAGTAATTATCCGATGTTACATTTCAAAACATACACCAAATGGCGACATTTCAGCACTTTAACTTTGTCTCAGATAAAAGTGTATGGTTGCAAGAAACAGGAAATTTCCTGTAGATTTCGAAACTGTAAAATATATTTGTCTGTGTGATACATTTTGAATTTTGTTTGACTTAAAAGTGAGGGTTGAAGAGCAAGGACATACATGTCCCTCTGGCATCCCTTCCTATGGATGGATTTTAATCACATTCTTACTAATCATTACAGCAATAGGCCTTAATTTCTTTATCCTTCTTCTATTTTTATTGCAGCAAATCATCTTTTAAAAATGCTATATGAATTGACGAAAACTTTATTAGCATAAATATACAATTGCTGTCGCATCTGATGTGCACTGTACAGTAGGAAAATAATGTACTGTATCTATTTCTGTTGTGAGTGATATGCAGGCATACTTCGTAGTCACTTTGATAAAATGTTACATTTGAATATCGAAACCTAGATCTAGATTATGCCATATATGGTGTCAAGTTCAAGGTCAACAGTAAAAATAGATCTAGATTATAAACATTACCACATGGTTTGTTGTCCCATTTCTCCCTGAGATATTGTGAGTGTGAAACTGATATTAATTTCCCATTTTGTGTATAGGCCTACATTTCACTTTACGTAATCATTGTCAATGGCCTTTCCGTTTCTTCGTAAATGCAGTCGAAAGACCAGTTGGCCTCAATCATTCACTGGATCACATTCTCCTCGTCAGAAGAGAAATTTCTACATCTCTTATTCCAAGGGGTGCAGGCGACATTTTGCAATACCATTTTTGGCAAACCGGAAGTAAACAGAAAACAGAATTGTGGGATATTTAGAAGTTAACCACACTGTTAAACTGTGACGGTGACGTTAGCAAACGGTGTGACTAACCATAGTTTGAACAACGCCATATATAACGTTCGGTTAGCTAACGGCCAGTTAAGGATTTAACCAACCTTTAGGAGTTAACCCGCAGTTAAGATAACCGAGTATTGAACAACCGGGCCCTGGTCATTTCAGATTCAATAAGGCCATTTTTATCTTGCTTTGAATGTGAGGACAGGATTTTTCTGTTACTGCATCATTATAAAATGAACGAATTGAGTTTTTGATGACTTCAAAACTTCCAGTTGAAAAGGTAAGAACTAAGTTACTTCCTTTTTGTCATTTCACAAATGACATTACATCTGCCAGCAGCTTCTTTCTTTTTGGAAAGTAAATCTTGTTTATCGAGAATAATTTGATAGTTTGTAGCATTTGACTGTTAGACGTCAACAACAATGGCGATCCTGTGACGTAACAATCTGTTGTCATGACGTCAGGTGACAGTTAACTGTCAGATTCACAGCAAAACTCGGGCGAAAGTATTTTCACATTACAAAGTGTTTTACGGTTCATTTTTCATCAGAAAAGGTTCACGATTCATGTCAGCATAACTTTATAAAGACATTTGTAATGATGATTTCACATACCTAACACTGTGCACCAAGAAATTCCACTTTTCGTTTGGGTGCCGTAAGTTTGTGTCATCACAGATTGATGCATGTGCATTCATCGTCACCAATTATCGAAGGTGTGTTACACCAATAACGCAAATGGACTTTAAACATCAACTGTTTCACTTAAAAGTGACACAGACAATTCAAGCGACACCCAAGCCCATAGTCAATTGTTCAGATAAGGTGATTCCAAAAGAAGTTTTTTTTAATTCAAGTGTCGCAAAGTCACTTACTTTGGCAGTGTTCACTAAAACGAGACATATCTAGTTAAAAGTAGGATGAGGTGATTCCTCTAACTCAGTTTCATAACTATTTAAGTTGTTCAGTTTTAAGTGTAAACTACCAAGTGGGTGATTTGAAATGCTTATGCAGTTGAACAGCTAACTTTTCAAATCCCTTTGTCTATTTGAATGTCACAGTAGGGTTGGGTATTGCCAAAATTTTCGTATTGTGATGTGTGTTGGCATGTTGCAATATGTATTGCAATATATTGTGAAGTGTAATGTAAGGTTTAAGGTAATGAAATTACTGTTCCCTTTCTTTTGAAACAATGCCACTGACCACTGTCAGGACTCAGATGCCTGTGTACAAGAGATCAATTGAAAATGTTTCCAAGTTGAAGACTTTGCTTTGGAACTGGAGAAAAAGCGTCTGAAGCAGCAATCTATTTTTTTATTTATGTGGTCTAAAAGTCATGCAAATGCAATTATATGACCAATAAACATTCTCAAAATTATTAATTGATAATAATATAAAGGAAATTTATTTTTTACTACATCACGAAAATTATCGATCACAATCACGGAAATTGCCGATCGTATTGACTGAACTGGTTTGCAAAAAATGTACCGCAATATATCGTATTGTGAAGTTCGAATTGCAATATACTGGTTAACCGGTATTATTGCCCACCCCTATGTCACAGTATTATGAACTCAAGTTAACCCTACTGCAGTGACCCAATTTGTCTTATCACAATGAAGGATGAAATGTACTATGCATATTGTAATTGGCATACCTCCACATAGCTGCAAGAAACTGGAATAAAGCAAACAAACAAGACATGTCATTATTACAGTATATCATATTATGAATATAGTTAGTTTGTTCTCAATATACATGTATAAACTTGTCAGTGTTATTTTTTCTTTCAACCAGGAAAAGAGATGAATGAAAAATTACTTTTTCTGTTTGATGAGGGCCATTGCTCTGTTTGCTGGCAGGAAAGGGTTGGTTGGATCAAGCTGCAGGCCCCGTGAATAGTGTTCAATGGCATGGTTATACTCTCCTCTCCCGGAAAAATTCATTTCCCTGACAAAAAAAAGAAAAGAAAAGAAATGAGACATGTAACCTTTAAACATCCTTAAAAATTTGGCAACATTTTCTTTTCAGTGATCAAAATACTACTAAATTTGAGTTTCTATGTCTGCATTTTGATGTTCCTTCGAAACCCCTCAAGGATTTGTAGCACTCTCCTACCAAGGGATCCATGCAGTCAGCATAGCACCTCTGCCAAAGGCGCCACCATGTGACGATTCTTCACATCTTACACATTCCATTCAATATATTGTGTATGTTTTTCAATATAATAATAATTGAGAAGTCCACACACTTAATTAAACATCTTTGACAGTGATTTTTTGTTTATTTGAATGTTTATCATCAATATATGAGCGGCAAATCGTGAATCAAGCTGTCAAAATCATAACTGACCGTACTCACTACTTAAATTCGGGGAATACAACCTCCTCCCTTCAGGCCGCCGCTACAAAGTTCCAATTGTGAAAACTAAGCGAGCCCGTACATCATTTATTCCAAGCACCATATCTCTCTTAAACAAATGTGAAGATACCTAAATCAAAGAATTTATGTAAATATGTTTGGTATCTCTCTAATGTGTCAGTAGCTCTGCTGATGTAACACAAATTCCTGAAAAGGCATTAAAGTATTACGGTATTCTATTCTATTCTATTCTAATACTATTCTGATTTGCGTAGCTATCCCTTGTTCACATCAGTTGTATGTCTCCAAAGTCCTATATGTGTTGTCATCAAAGTCCTATCTATACAGTTGTTGAAGAATACCGATATAAGTACATAATTAACAACATGAAGGGACCTAGCTTCTGCTTTACATATGAGCGTATTTGTTTACAAATAAGAGAAAAATCCAGTCATATGATAAGCAAATTAGCCTGTGGCAGTGATGGTATGCTTAATCATCACTACGCTGGAGTGTGGAATTGGTAGCTCACCTGAAATTTTCTGGACTAATTATTTATACCAGAATACAGTAAAGTAACTAAAAGATGATGTACACCTCTCCATGGTGGGCCTAAATAGGTGCATTTTTATATTCCCTGATTTAAAGTGAAAATCTGGCATAAATGGAGTAGTATATACAATGATTGTCCGAGACCAAGACCAACAAAAGCCTCTGTAAAGCTTTATTTCACAAATAAAGCTTTTGTCAGGCCCTTAGATCTCGCCGCCATCGTTGGATATACTACTTTTGAATCCCCAGTTAACTTCCCGGTCACTATGACCGCGAACCAGCACTTTCCTGATCATGTAATGGCTCTATGTCGTGTTGACCACGAGGAAACAGTTTAATGTGAATCGCCTATGATCTCTTTGGTGTTCGTAATGAAGGCTTGCTGGGCTTTTCGTACCCCTTGTTCTATGTACTTTTTTCTCTCGTCTTCACTGATAGCAGACTTACGAGACTTGGACCGGATTTCTTGTTTCATCTTACGGTACTTGTCGAGTTCAGAGAGGATTGAACGAAATTCCTCCTCTGAGATCTTACTGTCAGTGAGTGCCGTGGAAATACGCTTGCTTACCGTGTTCAGCTTTGCTTCGGCTAGAACCCTGATCTCGTCGTGTTTCAACGCTTTACGATGCAATCTGCGGGATGCAAACTTAAACACCAACCCTGCCACCCCTACCACCCCAGCTGTTACTTCAATGCCTAGCACTATAGGTGCGGCCACGATGATGGTCAACAACCCAACACCTAGTAAGGGCGGTATCAGCCCCATCCACGATATTGAAAGCTCTATGGTACTTCTTACATAGTGCTTTCCGTGTGTCGTGGTCTTGTTCTAGTTGGCGTTTTACATCACATAACTGTCTCAAGCGGAACCCGTCTACGGTTTCCATTGTCTTCGCAACTTCCTCTACGACTGGGTACAGGCCCATCCTGTGCATATAATATATTCTATGAAATATCTTTTAATTGTGTGCCATTTAATTCTTGCATAGTGTATTTGAAGCTTATAAAGCTTATATACTTGTACAGGGAAATAGGTGAGAGGCTAATAGGTAACTCTGTGTCCACACGAACCCCCCAGGGGCTGCTTACTGAGGGGACTATAGAACCCGTTAAGGGGTCCGGTTTTATGACGATACGGCAACGTTGGTCACTGTTAATGGTGTTCAAGTGTATTGTCAACCCGGGTAAAAGTTGTAGTTCTACACTATCAGGAATTAACCCGAGATAGACTTCTATGGCGAGTGTGGAGCTTGGTTTCATAGTCATAAAATCCAATTGGGAATTGGGTACGTCAAACCTTAACTCACCCTTCCATCTTGAAACTAACATGTTGCCCGTGTAATCCGGTATTAGTTGAGCATTTATACTAAAATCTGGAATGAAAGCCCCGAGCAAGATACCGTTGTTCCTAATTTCGGGAGACATACCTATCTTTGTCTAACGAGATATAAGGTGCGGTGAGGGTCATGTTGATCAACCATTCGGGTTCTCTAAAATCTGCCAGGGACACCCGCCTATACACGTTATCTTTTAAGCGTAGGACGTACAAGGCGTCTTCCTCCCCGGGCAGATTGAATCCCTCCGTGTCTCCTAGATCATTAAGTGTGGCGTTGGGCCGATGACGATTGGACATTGCTATAATACTATTACGAGATAGTTTCCAATTGTTTTTCTGATAATTTTTCGGGGGTACACTTCACCACCATGAAGTGTATGTTGTCGGGTAGGAAGATCTTGGTGAGTGAAAAACGTGTCTTCCACTGTCACGGTGACCCCCTGCAGATTGGTGTGGGAGTCGACATCCACCCGCACGTAAACAGTGCAAACCTGATACTGGTGCCGTTTCACCCACCGGAGTTTGATCCCCTTCACGATTTCGACTTCATCCTGCGATGGTTCCCCTAGGTAGACTTGGATGACCAGCGTGGAGTTCGCCGGTAGGCTCGCCAGGATGTTGACCATGCCAGCGAATTCAGACACCAACTGCAATGCCACGTCTTGCACTCCCGGTTTACTTGATAGCATGTGGGCTGCCATACTGGAGAGTGGGCTGATGATTACACTACGTCTCTGCGCCGGGATGTAAGCCACAAGCAGGGTTCCGTTGTTCACGACTTTGTTTTGGTAGTTGTCTTTGTTCCCCCGTGAACACGTAGGGGGAGCCGAGACTAATGTTGAGAAACCAGTCGACTTTAGCGGGCAACAACACCCACTTGTCGGAGTCAGTGAAGACGAGGGTATATGGCTTGTTTCGGGCGACGGTCGTGCTTTCAACATCTTCTATGTCGAACAGTTTGCCTCCGAACGATGGGTAAACCGACCATCTATCATCACCGATGACTCGGTTCTACCGTCATTGTATTTCTCCGTTTCCACCGGTACGGCTCTCAGTATCGTGGAAGGGTGACCACCTTGAATGTTGTCCGTTGTGCTCAACTGACTGAGATGAATGCACAGCTCTACGGTACTAGGTCGGGTAACTTCGTGCCTATGACGGTAGTTGTGGGTTTTATCTCGTCAGGCGGCATACCGAGTGTCCTCGCCAATGGTCGGCCGAGCCTCAAGGGGTTTATTCCGTTGTTGGTTAACACCACTGTGCCGTTTGAGTCGTTCATCTTGAGTTCGGCTCCCAAGGGTTTGAAGACCTCGTCGCTTAGCGAGCACATGCTGTAGTAGCCGTCAGTTATCTGGTTGCGGGCGGCGCCACTGACGAACAGCTTGTTGTTGTTGGTGTTGATGTTAGTCCATCGCGGTAGGTAGGTGATATGCAGAGTGCGACTTCAAGTTGGCCCGACGTGTTATGGATCGCGTGCATCAGCTGAACGGACTTGCCGGTCGTTATTCCTGGAAGTGTTACGTACATGTTAGAGTATATATACCCATTATATAATACTTTAAAAAATGTACAAACCAGGAGTGTTTTACCCTAAACTGGACATAGATTTCCCACACATGAAGATCGTGGTCGCTGATGGGCTGTATTTCGGAGCCCAGTTCATAGATGTGTTCGAACGGTATAAGCTTTCGGCGACGAACGTCAAGGCAGTCCACGCTTGGTTCAACAACCCGATGCAGTTCTGGCAGAATCAACTCAACTTCGCCGTGTGGTGCGCTACAACAGGGTGCGGCTTGACATTGACCGACACTCGGCGGGGACCGCTGAGTCAGTCTGTGTTCACGTTTCACGTGTATTACCAGGTCAGGCGTATCCTCAAAGAGATCAGCGCTCCGCTCCCACAGGACAAAGCATAGGGCGCAGTAAACAACCCATACGATCGACGGGCCTACGAACGCGTTTGCAACGAATTCGAACTAGACCCCGAAGACGGATTGGCGTTTACAAGGGCCGAACAATGGGTTGGGTATCCCCATCGTTCACAATATGCCCCTCGTGGAAGCCAGCGAAAAGATGAAAGAATGGGGGTACAAGTCATATCATCACATCACAACAAACGAGTGGGATGACCATTACATGGCTTTCGATGACAGCAAGGATTACCGAGTCTGGAGGTTTGAGCAGGGGCCTGCGGATGACTGGAAAAAGTTCATGCTGGACACGTCGAGAGGGTTTACTCATGCCGGCATCGAACGCTTGAACGACTCGATTCGAACGTACGTGTGGGCCGTGCTGGGCGCTCAGAATGAAACTCGTTCTGGTATAATCGGTACAGGTACTGCTTTAGACGCGCAGAAACAGTTCTTGTCCAACGTCGAGGATGCCATCTCCGCCCCGGTCGATATACCGGGCGCCATCCGACGATACCAAGACGTGTTGGAATATGCCCGGTCGAGAGTCGACTACTTTTTCGACGTGGGACTGTACATGGCTCCGAGCGACATGCGACTGAGAATCAACAAAGTGGTGGGCTACAACAACAAAATCGTCGTAGCCACAGCCGACCAAAAGTTGGGCATCGACCCCGATGTCAACATCCCCCACGTACCACCCCCCACGACCGGTGAAACAGGCATAGTCGTACCACCCGGAGCCCAGGGTTCAACCCACACCACCACAGCCCCAACTCCCACACGTGCAG